TCATGTTTATAAAAAAAATTTTTCCAAAGTTTTTAGCCTAACCGTCCATATCCCCAGTTGCCTGCAATAGCTATGTTATCCATAGGTTCAGAAATCTTGTTATGTAATTGTATGGAAATGGTATCCCAAAGGTGCTTCTTCATTTCTTCTTCTTCACTTCTTGAATAAAAAGCAAAACATTTGCAAATGAAAAAGATAAGAAAATCCAATTGCCTTTTGGAAAAATCACCTTTGGGACAACCATGATCTGGATGATTGAGAATCTCAATGTTGTTGTTAATTGCGAAGTCATGTCCGACCCATCGTGACCCTATGGACAACGTTCCTCCAGGTCTTCCTGTCCTCTACCATCTTCTGGAGTCCATTTAAGTTCACGCCTACTGCTTCAGTGACTCCATCCAGCCATCTCATTCTCTGTCGTCCCCTTCTTCTATTGCGAGAATCTCAATAGTTGCGGGAATAGCGTATTATTCTTAATTCTAGCATTAGTAGAGAAAAGAACCAAGTTGTAGTGTCTCCCAAACCTAGTGCAAGGATGCAACTATTCCTAGGCTCTTTTCTTATGAAACTTCATAGGTAAGAATCAGTGAAAATTCTCGTCTACAAGATACTAGATTCATCCAAATCTTGATTTGTGCAAGACGACAACAGCAATTGATTCAAATACCACAAAGTTTGCAAAACATATTCAAGCATATAGGTTTCAGGGTCATTGTTCTAGAGAGAAAACCATGGTCAAAAGTATGTAAAGAGTAATATAAGTAACCCTCAGAGTATTTTTTGTCATATGTTATGCTTCTTTCCTGTATTTTCAGTAACCCATGCTTATTAAAGCATAATAATTTTGATTCTCTATAGTATGTGAATCATTTACCATAAAGTAAGAAAAGACTAGAACAGTGATGACGAACCTTTTAGAGACCGAGTGCCCAAACTGCAACCCCAAACCCACTTATGCATTGTCGAGTGCTGGGTGGGTGTGGCCCATTGGGTGGGCATGGCTGTGTTGGTAATGGCAGACAGAGTGGGATTAAAAAGTTCAATCAATCAATTCCAACTTTGCAAGATCTTTTTTTCCCCGTGAGAAGTTGAAATTGATTGATTGATAGATAGAACCTTTTTTTTTTTGCACATGGCAGTGGAGGCCTAAAGCAAAAAGGTTTTATAAAACCCAGCCTAAAGGCCTAGGACTGGGGCAACAGCATGCGTGCTCACAGAGAGGGCTCTGAGTGCCGCTTCTGGCACCCGTGCCATAGGTTCGCCACTACTGGACTAGAAGCAATAGATAGGTCTTCTCGGTTTAGTGTTCCTTTTTTGTATAAAACAATCCCTTGATCATTAAAACAGGTCTTGCTGTATTGAATAAATACTACTGGTGCAAGTGGACTTTTCAATTTACTATGGACTTTCCAATTTACTGCTGGCAGCTAGCCCAAAATAGTCAGAACTCATTAAATCTGAATCCAAGGAATATGAATATGTAACTAGGCAAACATGAATGCCTGACTACATGACCAGTGATGACAAGCAATATAAAAGTCTTACTAAGGTTTTTTACTTTCAGTTCTCAGTAAGCAATAGATTAAGGTACTTGATCAAGTAAATCTGCAGTTCTCTTAGGTTGTGTATTATTTATCTCAGAAAAAGACCATTTCACAATATGCTGTTCAGAGTTGCTGTTAAGAGCAGCCTCTAAAGCAGTGGTTCTCAAACTTTTGAATGCTGCGACCTCCAACCAGTTGTAAGTCGAGGACTACTCAACTGGTGCAGCACCGTTTGCAGAATGGGACTTTTGGCGGGCTCAGCAGGGCAGGGACAGCCTGGACAAGTCCTAAAAAGGAGTAGCACAGCTAAAGAAAAGGGGAAAAAATGGCGGACTGCATTGTTTGGCGACCCCTGTTAAATGGTCATTCGACCCACAGGTTGAGAACCACTGCTCTAAAGCCTCTACCCCTTGCCAAGTCTTGTATGCTGCCTCATAATGGAAATGGAGCATTCTTGGAAGGGACGAGAAAAGAATGTCAGGAGGACATGCCAAGAGTATATGTTCCAGCAGGACCACTTAAGGTGTGAAGATAATTTGATTTGCCTAAAATAAGCAAATGCCTACAAAATAAAGTGATAATACAGTGCCAGATGATGGGCCCCTCAGGTAAGAAGTCACTCAATATGCTACTGAGAGAGCTGAATGTATTTCATAAAACTAAGAATATTTTTGACACAGATATATTATGGGCTTCCAGACATCTAGTTGCTGGATTCATAAAGGGGAAAAAAATCCAAAGCTGAAAAAAATAGGATTACAGTGGGAAGATAGAACATGAAAAAACTAAATATGGGAAAGATCAAAGAAAGATGAATCAACGAAGACTACATCTTTATCTAACTGACTATAGACATAGATAAATTGAAATGGTCTGGAATTGATACTTTCATTCAGAAAACTACATTTTTTTTTTTTTGCTCAGGATATGGTGTTGCTTTCATAATTAGGAAGAATAGTTATGACAGTATAGTAAAACACCAAATACCAATTTTATGAGTCATGGTGGCACAGAGTGCAGTATTGCAGGCTAATTCTGCCAACTGTCAGCAGTTTGATCTTGACTGTCTCAAGGTTGACTCAGTCTTCCATATTTCTGAGGTTGATAAAATGAGGACCCAGATTGTTGGGGGCAATATGCTGACTCTGTAATCCACTTAGAAAGGGATGTAAAGCACTGTGGAGTGGTGTATAAGTCTAAGTGCTATTGCTATTATCAAGTGTGCAAACAACTTTTTAATTAGTGTTGGATTCAAATATGTGAACAACGGGTTCTCCGTGTGGATGCCACTTCTGGAAGTCCATTCTGGACCTGGGCAACAAAAAATTAGCTACTGGTTCTGCTGAACTGATGCGAAGATGGCTGAATCCCATCACTGTTTTTAATATGATCATTGAAGTTTATGATCCAGCCTTTGATGAAGAAAAACAGGAAAACCAGAAACCCTATACCATTTCAGAAAAATGGTTTTCCCATCTCCTCTTGAAAATCTCACCCACAACTTCCGGAGGCAAGTCTTTCCACTAATTAATTGTTCTAACTGTCAGGAAATTTCTCCTTAGTTCTCTCCTTCATTAGGTTCCATCCATTGCTTCTTGTACTGCCTTTAGGTGCTTTGGAGAATAACTTGACTCCCCCTCTTCTTTGCAGCAGCCCCTTAGATATTGGAACACTGATATCATGTGACCCCTAGTCCTTCCCTTCATTAAACTAGACATACCCAATTCCTGCAACTGTTCTTCATATATTTTAGCCTCCAGTCCCCTAATCATCTTTGTTGTTCATCTCTGCACTCTTTCTAGAGTCTTAACATCTTTTTTACAACATGGCAATCAGAATTGGATGGCTAACACAAGGAACTATAGAATGAAATTAAAGAAATTATTAAAGATGGATGTGAGATCAAAAAACAGAAGAAAGTAAATTGGATATCAGAAAAGGGTGGAAATTGCAAAGAAAAGCCAAAGCAAAAAACCCCCAAACCCCTCAGGAAGGCACTTAAAGAATTTCATGAGAAAAGAAACAATATTAGAATGTGATCAGTAAAGACACTGAAGATTGAAACAGATATAGGTAAACAGGAAAAATCTTCCTTTATTCTGTGAGTTATTTGGAGTCAGGTCCATTGAAATTGATTGATTGTTTAAAAAATATAGCTGAACTCAGAAGGAGATTCCAATTTTGAGCAGATGTGTTAAAGACTGACAATGAACAGATAGAACAGATAGTAGAAAATCAGGCAATGATGGAAAGAATATATTGAAATTCTGTACAACAGAGAGGTCAACATTCAAAATAACATAGGTATTTTCTATTTACAAGAACATCTAATACTAGAAGATGAAGTTGGATCAGCACTCTGAGCATTTCTGATTAGAAGGATACAAGAATTGACAGAATATCTACAAAAATATGGCATGCAACAGAAAAGTTAGTAAAGGTTCTAATCAAACTGTGTCAGCAGATCTGGAGAAAAACACTGCTAACAGATTATAGAAGGTCAATTGATACAGAAATACCAAACATAGTCTGTGATCTAGGCAGTTTAAAAATGTCCAAAAACCAATCTTCTAAGTAAAAAATACTCATCTTTGCAGAAATATTCAGCATGTTCTGGTGTCCTTCACTAGTTAAATTTTAGTTACATATTGTTGTGAAGGCAAGCATATGCTGGCTGAGTTAGCACATTATTTTAAGCCATAATGTAGTTGGGTTAGTTTTGCTTTGCATAGTGTAAATTCAATTATTCTAATTTATAAATCAAGGTTTATGATTTAGTGCACGGGTATCAAACTCGTGATGTCACGTGACGTGTCGCGACATATTGTGACTTTTTTCCCATTGACTTTTTTCCCATGGGGTGGGCACGGTTTTAGCGTGACGCATCCGGTCCGTGGTTTGACACCCCTGATTTAGTGTGTTCTATGAATCCAGACTGGATTAATCATGAATCATAACAAATAATCATTTAGTGCAATAAATTAACAATTTTATCTCCTAATTAATATAACCATATGTTCTACATTTGAAGATTAACTATCCAGATTTTTAAGTTGCATATTTATACTTAAGCATATGTATAAATTTAAAATATATGAAATGACTTTTAGTCAGATTCTCATTTGATATTTTCAAAATAATTGAAGCTTGCTTAATTTAAGTGTATGCTTTGTGGTATGTCAAGAACCTTGAGCAGCATGAGTTAACCCTTTCTGAGAAGATGGATTAAATAAGTGATCTCATTACTGATGCCTCTTATTTTGCTATAGAACCATTTTTGTCACAAGGAAAGTGTTTTAGTGACCCAGATCTAAACAAGGCAGGGAGGCTAGGTACACATGTTACACTAAACAAGGATATTTAAATATAGTTTGTTAAATAAGCTGCAGTAGGTTTAGGATATCTTACTAAGATGGTACTAGGCAAATCATTTACAGTCTCAGTACAATATGTGAATCCAGTCAATGATACTTTATTTTAGATACCACACAAATGTATTAAGAAGACAAGAAAACATACAGAGATACTATTGTCAGCATGAACTTTTAAAAAAATTCTTGCATCATTGCACGAGGATATCTCTATTACTAGAAAAACATACCTTCTAAGGTTTGGGAAATAGAACAAAACTTTTGTTTAATTCCTATTTGGAAGGCAACGATCCTTTATAAAGTGTGCAGGTGTTTAATATTATTTTTATACATTATTTGCTAATCAAACAAAACCATGGATCACTGACAAAAACCAAACTTTTATTCCTATATTTATCATTAAAGAGAGAGAAAAATCAACACAAATGTGGCAGCTACATCAGCTTCATCAGTCTATTTTGTCTTCTTGAAGACTTGATGGCACACCTGGTCTTCACAAGTCAATTCCTACAAAAGAAGAAAGCAGAGCTTTTTCATTGTGCTTATTATACTCCATGCCTTCCCTTAAAGATAAAAACAACTCAGACACCACATTAAGAGTGAGGCTTGGCTATTAAATGGAAAAGAACAATGTATTTTATGTAACCAATCAGCCAGTAAGCACTACAGGTGGCAGTAATTAGATTTGGACACTTCAGTTGAGTTTTTAAAAGGATAAAAATGAAAAATGTATGAAAATTGCTTTGTAACAGTAGGACATTTCATAGTCTATTATTAGCCCACATACTGTAGTGCATTAAAACTACTGGAGCAACAAGAAATTGCAAAAGGAGAAAAGGCAAGGCTTTAAAGGTAACAAGATAAGTACAATAGTATTCGGCCAATAGGCAGCTATGTGTCTGCAGAAAGTGGGTCTTAACTTGGCATGTTATAGCAAGTGTTACAAAGTAGGTCAGTAGCATTATTGGCAAGTTTTGAATGTATTTTAATCATGAGAGGACATCAGTCTTAGATATGAGCTACTTGTTTCTATGTGGATATCTTTTATTACATATAGAGGAACATTTTTTGGTATAAAGTAAGGGAAGGTTTTTATAATCATATCTTTCAAGTTATTGTAACAATCTCTCAACCTTGCTATTAATCCCTTAAATGGTTCTTAAGGCTTTGTTTGCAGCAATAAAAATGAAGAGAAGACGCTATAGAACAGTAATGATGTATTGCAAGAGGGCTATGGGCAGCTGATTTTCTTTAGCTCTTGTTTTTGCAGTCAGATCAATGGAATAAATCACTATCTAGTGTTTATCTGTAAAAGGGAATTAATGATTCTGGGATGAAACACAATTGTGTTTTTACTTTTTTTAAAAAAAAATCACAATTGCTTTGCAGTTCACATGAAGCTACTATGAATTTTATGATGTTTTAAGAGGTATTGTGAACATTATTACTTTGAATAAGAAATATCAAAGTTGCTTTTTTTTAATATGGATAGTATAGTTGTACATGATTCCTACCAAACTTATTAGGGTTCAGCACAATCTTACTACTCAAAGCAGCTTTAAAAGATCATCAAAGTAGCTCCTTGTTTCCCAAATTATCCAATCACATATCTTCTGAAAGTCTGTTACATAGTTCCTAAGCATCTATATTTATCAGTGGACTATGTAAAAAGTTTTAAGATATTGCTATCTCTTGTGACAGTAAATTTAGTAAAATAATTGATAACTATGCGAAGATTTTTTTTGTCTTTTTCTAGCATTAGAAAATCATGCTCCCCAATTTTTTGAAAATTCCATTCTGCAAGCTTATAATTACAGTACCTTTTTAATATAATTCTCAAGAGAACATAAATTATCAACTATTTCTTCCAAGGTATATGTGTTAATAGAACTAGGTTTATAGAATCTCTGGATTTACGACTATTTTACTAGAATAGTTGTATCTATTCTACAAAAATATGGGTCTTCTTAATAGGTTTTGAAGCAGGACTGAATAATGGAACTGGGAGAAGGTAGGAGGATATACAGATGTTCTTTTTCCTTAGAAATTATGCAAGTCAATGTTTGCATCTAATGAAAAATGAATTGTGGTAAGAATGTTAAACATTAATGCATTAAGTTGCAATATTAATCATATTTATTTAAAAGTACGTTCCTCTGAAAATAATTTCCTTACCTTCTGAGAAAAGTGGTTTGGAGTTGAGTATTGAAAGTGCTTAAAAATGATTTTTTAAAATTTCTAACCCATTAAGCAAATTTGATCTCAGTGGTGAAGATGAACAATGTTACCAAATTTAGGCAGCAAAAAATCGGATAGCCACTAATTGGAAGCAAAGTTTAGTTTCCTATAGCTTTTTGAGGCTATCTAGTCATCATTTGGATTTCTGTAGCCCTGTTCTCATTGTTAATTATGGAAATCAATCATGGAAATAAACATGACATTAATTATGCTTTGGGTGTTCTTTCAAGGATTCTACTTTAGATATGACAAAATTCATTGGGAAGAACTTCTTTATTTCCCCATCTGGCTGTAAAATCAAGACTCCATGGTTTCTGCTATGTACTCATCACTTCTAGTCATCCTGA